TGTTTTAACAAAAAAATTCCAAAAAGAATTACCTTTGACTGTTAAAATCTGATTTTTGTTTCTCTGAAAGATAATTGATACACTGCTGGTGGGAATGTAAAGTGGTACAACCCCTGGTGGAAAACAGTCTGGTAGTTCCTCAAACAGAGAGAATCACTATATGACCCAACAATTCCACTCTTAGCTATATAACCCCCCCAAAATAAAAATTAAAAACAGGGACTGAAATATTTGTATACCACTGTTCATAATAGCATTATTCACAACAGCCCAAAGGTGGAAACAACCTATGTATCCACCCACAGATGAATGGATAAACACCGTGGTACAAGCCATACAATGGAATATTGTTTAGCCACTAAAAACGAATGTAGTTCTGATACTCTTTATCTACATCATGGATGAACTCTGAACCCGTGATGCTAAGTGAAAGAAGCCAGGCACAAAAGGACAAACACTGCATGATTCCACTTACAAGAGATATCTACAACAGGCAAATTTTTAGAGACAGAAAATAGATTAGAGATTACCAGGGACTGCAGGGAATGATTTCTTGCTTAATGGTTACAGTCTCTGTTTTAAGTTTTAAAAATAACGACTATAGATAGTTACAAAACATTGTGGAATTGTACTTAATGTACTGAACTGTAAATTTAAAATGGTTAAAATGGCCAATTTTATGGTTTTTTAAAAAGATTTTATTTCTTTATTTGACAGAGAAAGAGCAGGCAAGCACAAATGGCGGCCGGGGCCGGGGGGGGGGGGGGGGGGCAGTGGCAGAGGGAGAGGGAGAAGCAGGCTCCCCACTGAGCAGGGAGCGCAATGGTCCTGGGATCATGACCTGAGCCAAAGGCAGTTGCTTAACCAATTGAGCCACCCAGGTGCCCCCAATTTTATGTTAAATATATATTTTAACATAAACAAAAGTAGGAGGAGAGGAAGCATAGTACTATAAGGTTCTTATGCTATACACAAAATGGTTTAATATCACTGAAGGTAGGCTGTGATAAATTAAGGATTCCTACTATAAACCCTAATGCAATTCCATTAATCACAAAGAGTTATGGCTAATAAACCAACAACGGAGATAAAATGGAATCACAGAAAATACTGAATAATCCAAAAGCAGACAGAGAAGGGGAAATAAATAGCAACCCTATAAAATAAACTAGATCTAAAGTTTGTGGAAAACTTGCAGTCTTAACATGAACCTATTATTGAGGTGAACAAGTTCTCTACCAAGAGACTCTCTTCACTTATGTGGAAAAATCTCAGTTAAACTAGGCTGTAATTGGTGTGGACTGTGTAGTTTGCAAATAATTTTGACTGGAGCCAAAGCCTGTCTGATTCACACCTACTCTGTCTCTGGACTGCTTATTTTGAAACTTTCCAAATCTTCAGAAAAGTTAAAAGAATGATACATGGAACACTGGCTATTCACAATTCACCTATTACACAACTTCACAATTCACCAATTGTTAATGTTTTGCTACATCTGCACTTCTGCACTCTCCAAACATACTTGTTTGGGGTTTTTTCCGTTCAACTACTTGAAAATCACAGACATATTTTAGCCTTAAACACTTAATGGGAACTTTTTTTTTTTTTAAGATTTTATTTATTTATTTGCCAGAGAGAAAGAGAGCACAAGCAGGGGGAGCTGCAGGCAGAGGGAGAAGCAGGCTCCCCGCTGAGCAGGGAGCCTGGTGCTCGATCCCAGGACCACAGGATCATGACCTGAGCTGAAGGCAGACGCCACCAACGGAGCCACCCAGGCATCCCGGAACCAACATTTTTGAACCACCATGCTATGCTCCCTCTTCTTCAAGAGAAACATTCATTAACAACATGAGATCAAACCATTTGGATACACTCACTCTTCAAAAATCTGCAATGGTTCCCCACCTTCTACTGCATATAACCTAAAAAGCTTAGTATAGGCTTCTCTCCATAAATGAGCTGAACCTGCCTTTCTTTTGCTTGCTTCCATGCACTGGTGCATCCATGAAAATATTAAGCATCCTTTGTTCCTCTGGGTCTTCGCTCATGTTGTTTGTTCATCTGGAATGCCTTTTCCTTCTATCGCCATCTATCTTGGTCCTTTTCCTAATCCTTAAAGGCCCACCTCAAATGCCACAGGGCAAGGGGGCTGAAACTCCTTTGGCTATGCTGCCCTGACATATTCCATATAACTACTTAGCACTTAAAGTTACATGTCTTTCAAACTACAGTATTCATTTAAAGGCAAACATCAAGTCATCTTCATTCCTACATAACCCAACACCTTACCCAATGCCTCCCATTGGTGTAGACAGTGGTATACCTATATTTATTGAAATGAACGAACAGGTGAAGTTTCAAGTAAACGTAATAAAGACAAAAAAGTCTTCCTATCTTCCAGTCATCACAAATGATTAACAATGTTCATTTATGTCCGTGAGGCAAAAAGAAGAACCACCATATAGCAGTAGTACAAGCGTTATGATGTATTATTCTGGCATAAAGCCCAATGTAAGACAGAAAAGTAAAATACCCAAGAGGGAAACAACTTAATGTAAAACCACGATTGAATTATTAAATAGTTCCTTAACAGTAATTCAATGCTTTCAAAAATATTTCACATACACCTCCCATTTGACTCCTCAATAAATCTGAGAACCGATTATGAATCCTCTCCTCCGGTCACCTGCTCAACTAGTAGGACCAGATTCTCAACCCTCATTTTCCCATTTCCAAGGTTCCCTCTCTTTCTAAAATACCACCTCACCCCCAAATTTGTTTCCTTGCTAAGAAGTTTTAAGAGCTAGCTCAAATCAATATTTCGTGGTTAAGTGCTCAACTCATTTCTGAATCTTATTAATTTTAATAAGTGAAGGTAACAAACTGCTTGAAGCAGTTTACACAACATTATTGAAGCAGGTTTGGTAAAGGATTAAGAATAAAATTACTTATCTTTCATATGACACACATGCATTGGTAACATTTTCATTTTCCTTCTCTATCAGGAGAAACAATGTAAAATTTACCTCTGTAACTACACTTTGGTTAGAATAATCCGTATCCCAGCCAAGAGTCAAACAAGCCAAGCAGGTTCCTACCTCCATCTACTTTTGCTGACCCTCTAACTGGAATGCTGCTTGGGGCTATGTTCATGGATTTGTCTCTTGCTTCTTTTAGGTTTCTGTTCAACTACTGTCCTAATCAGTTCCTTCCCAGACACAACTTCTAAAATAGCACCATTGCTGCCGCCATGCCTCCCTCCTGGGCCCATCCCTGCCCTGCACTCCTATCGCACTTACTTGGCTTTATTTTTCTCCATGGCCTTTCTCATCACCTCGCACTACATTCATTCATTCATTCATTCATTCATTTATGGTTAATTGTCTTTCTCATGAGGATAGGAACTTGCTGTTTTGTTGACAGTTGTTATCTCCTATGCCTTGAACCATGTACAGCACCTAGTAAGTGCTTAACAAATATTTGTTGAGTGAATGGATGAATGATAGCTTAACAGCTATGGAGTAAAGAAAAAGCAGTGACCCCTCTCTCTCCACCTCCATTCACCATAACTAAGCTAAATCAAGAAATTACAGTTTGGCAACCATCTGCTTGGGGGTTTATGCTCACTAAAAGTAATGTCAATGCCCAAAATGCTCACCCCTCATAAATCTAATCTAGACTTCTCCAAAGCCCAGAATATGTAAATCTCGATCTTCCCCTGGGAGGCAGCATATTATATAGTACAGTGATATTCAAATGCAGAGATCTTTTAAAATTCAGATTCTCAGGCAAATTCAGGAATGAGATCCAAGACTGCACCCTGGGTGACTCAGAGCCAGTGAGGTGAGGGCCATACTAGGAGAATCACTGGGTATGTACTGGAGTCAGACAGATCTCTATTCAGATCCCAGCTACACTATTCAACAACTGTATGGCACTGGTGAAAAACCTCATTTTACTCAGCATCAACTTCTCACCTATAAAATTGGAATAACATTATCTAACTTGCAAGTTGTATAAAGCTAACACAAGTACTTAACACAGTGCCTGGCACATGGCATTTGTTCAATAAATGACAGCTACTAGTCTGTCCTTTGAGATTCTTGAAGGGAAAAAATGGGCTTATTTCTTCCAACACGACTGGCTCTCCATTTCTTACTCGATTTTCAAAAACAAGAATTTCTGCTTTCCCCAATACTGGATATCACATTAGTTCCAGATTTCATATAAAGAGCCCTAGAAATAAGGAAATGGAAAAAAGGAACTGGAATGGGTGCCAGAAAGTTTAATGGATGCCTGTATATTTCTAACTCACGTGGTCCCCAATCTGTGCAAAGAAAGGGCCCAGGCTGATATTCTGTGAGTCTGGGACAGCTGGGTACAAGTCCTAGCTCTGCAAATGACTTACTGTATAATGTCAGGCAAAGATCTGGCCCGCTCTGTGTCCTTTCAGTATCCCTATCTATCCAGCGAAAGCATTTCAACTTAGTCTACGAAGAAGTACAGTTCCTGATGTGTACCTAACCAGGTGTGTGGTTTTAAAAACCAAGATAATGAAGTTCTCTCGCGTGTCCAAGCCTCAGTTTCCCCATCTGTCCAAGGGTGGGAGGCCGGGTGGTGGTGGCGGCTCCGATCTCCTCGGTCTTTCTCCCAGTTATCTGGGGTCGAGACGGTCAGATGAGGACTCAGGGAGAAGAACAGCACCGTTATCTACGAGGTGCGGGGGCCCCGACGAGATGTGGGGTAGAGGGTGGGTAGCCGAGAAGCAGGGTCGGGACGGCCGCGGTGGGAGAGGGGGGGCCTGGCTCCAGCTCCCGCCCCTGCTGACCGAGGGTACAACCGCGACGCACGCCCACCTACCACGGCCTGGCCACGACGCCGGGGCTTCTTCCCACCACGCCTCGGACACAGGCCAGGATGCCGCCAAGAGGGGCCGGCTGACCGCACGCATGGCGGCACCGCTCCCTTCGCCCTTCTCGCGCCCCCCCCCCACTTCTCACCTCTCAGTGTTGGGCCTCCCCGCTCAACGAGGGCTCGCGGCACGTCCTCCGCCGTGGCGGGACTGAGCGGACACCGCGGCGCGAGCAGAGGTAGCCTGGTCCCGGGCCGGCCTCCCTTTAACCCGCCCGTCCCCTTCTCCGCCCATCGCCCAGCCCCCGAAAAAGGCGGGGCCCGGGCGGGACCGCGGGGAGCGGCCAGGAGCCCCCGACCGAGAGGTGCGGAAGACCCAACCAGTATAACCATTCAGGAGGTGGCAGTCACGTGGCCCCGTCGGCGAGCGACGCGGCCGCCAGCCAATGACTCGGCCCGGCCCGCGGGGGTACCGCCCCCCTGGCTGCTCTCCTCCTCACCATTGGCTGCCCTGGGCAGCGGAGCCACGAGTCCCAGATTCTTAGGGCGAGTCCTCCTCCGATCGCAGCTGCGAGGAGTTCTTGCCGGTTTTCCGCCTTAACTCTGAAAGCGTAGGGAGGAAAAAGTGTCAGGAGAAATCCGGAAGCGTTCTGTCTAGGGCTGTTAAGTGTTCTGCGTTTGCGTGAGGGCAAAGTCTTGATCGCTGATTCCTTGGAACCCCATTCCCTCCCACCCCCGCCTTGTAGATGGGGAATGAAGGCCCAGAATGGGGAAAGGTCAGCTGGGAAATTAGGGGATTTTGCCCTCAGTGTAACCTACTCTCCACTGAAGGTCCCAATAGCCAGAGTTGCCTTTTAACATGTGAATAAAAATGTAAGAATAAATATGAAATGCAATTCCAACCTCGTTTAAAATCATCAGTGGGTTGTCTTGACATTTATAAATAGATAAAATCAAATTCCTCCCTATTTTTTTGAGGCCCTGAATGCTCTGGGCCCTGGCGCCTTTCTCCTCACCGGACATCTGTCTTTCCCTCTCTGCTCTCCACCCATCCTGGCCTCCTTTGCCCGCCAAGCTTGTTCTCTTTTGGGACCCGAACACTGGTTCCTAATGCCTGGTTTCTTTCTAGTCTCAGGTCGTAAACTAAAAGCCCATTCTCTCTCCCCACAGAGGCCTACCTACCCTGCCAGTCACATCCTACCGTGTCATCCTGCTTTAATGATCTGCCCCCTAACTGGGCCCTCTCTGATACTGAATACATGTTTATTCATTCTTTCTTCCTCTTGTTTATAGCCGGCGGGAGCGGGGAAGGGATGGGAGTGGAAGGTCAAGAGGACCTGTGAAAGAAGCAAAATGGTTAACTTCCTTTCCTTCCCTTTCCAGCGAACCTCTTCACAGTAATTTTAAGGAATTCCATTTCTTGTCTAGAGATGATCCTCAAGTTTCTGTTAACCATCAGATCCAGAGCTTCCAGAAGTCACAAGCCATATTGGGAATCAGAACACCTGGGTTCTACTCCTGATGCTGTCCCTTGTGACTGGAGATAAGTCAGTAGCCATCAGTGTTCTCATTTCTCCAAAGGTAGTTGATGCCCCACCCCCACCCCCCACACCTAATGTGCCCCTCCCTCCTAGACCTGGAGATGGTCAAGTAAGACAGTGAGTGTAAAGTACTTTGCCAACTCCCTGTAAGCCTGCAAAACATACAGTGGCAACAGATGCTGATTTCTGGATGTATATTTCTGGATGCACAAAACTGTTCACATTCATTATTTAATTTAATCCTAATAGCAGCTTTCAAGGAGGTGCTATGTTATGATGCTCCCTTTATAGGTGAGGAAATGAGACTCAGAGATGTTAGGTGACTTGCCCAAGGCCCCAGTTAGTAAGTGACAGTAATATGATTTTAACCCGGTTACATCTGATGGCAAAGCCCACTCTTAACCACTACACCCATTGTGTTGGTCAAATGTAAGAATCCACCTTGCATCCTTGCATGTAATAGACACCAATAAAAACTGGTGTCTAGTTAATAATTTAATAATAGCTATGATTTTCTTTCTCTTATTTCATGCTTTTCAATCCACATTACAGATGAGGAAGCTGAAGGTCAGAATATTAAGTTACTTAAGAGGTCATGCAACTAGCCAGAAGTGGATTTTGAGGTGGGACAGAGGTGAATTTTCAAACTGAGAGCTGCCAGATGCCAAAACCCAAGAACCTGTGGCACTGACCCAATGCAAGGGGAAGGTGCTAGAGAGGAGCTTTAGGCAAGTCACTGGTGCCTCTCTCTCTCCCAGTTCAGCATCTCCAAATGCTATTTAATGCAGTGGGCCTCTCTGCCTCCCCACACACACATCCCAAGGGGCCCCTGGAAGCAGACTTGGGTCTGCCATTCCTACCTTACCTTCATCAATGCTCTAGGCCCCTGCTGCAGGAATCTAAGAGGTGAAACGGATAACCAAATCCCTGCTAATCTGCTTTTCCTCAATAACAGCAGGTCAGCTGCCCAGCCAGCCAGAAGCCATGTAAGCCTGGGCATTTTCCCTCCTGTTGGTCTTAGAGTTCACAGAGGTGCTGGTAGCTGGAGGGTCGCATATTATAGCCATTACTCTGTCCCCAACCACTTTCCAAAGAGTAACTAAAGTGGGGGTATTGTGGGCCAAGAGGTAAGTCATTTCAGGTGAGAGGCCACTTGAGGAATTACCTCTGCAGCACTTGCTGACCAGCCACACTTCCCAGGTAGGACAGGTCACTTGCTCTGAGGCCTTGCTCTAGTGGGTCCCAGGCTGACTCCCATTATTGAATAGACTATTCCCGACTTGCTATTCTGATTTATTTTCACTGCTATGGGTGTTTTACTTTTTTTTTTTAAATTTGATTGTTCTTGAAAACTGGTAACATGTACAAGTAAATTTAAAAGATCAAAAAGTTTAGGATGAAAAGTAAGTCTTTCTCCCACACTATCCATTCTTACCCCATTGTTCCTTCTGGAAGCAAACACAGCACCAGTTTCTTGTGTTACCTTCTGGTTATTCTATACCAACAGTTCTCAGTCCTGGCTACCCACCAGAATCTCCTGGAGAACTTTTAAAAGATAACAATGTTTGGGTCCCCTTCCCAGATATTATGATCGATTGAATTCGAGTAGAGTGGGCTCAGGCATTGATATTTTTAAAAGCCCCCCAGGAGATTCTAATGCACACAGAGGGTTGGCAAACCAGTGATCTACGCAGATACAAGACTATATCTCTTTAAACAAAAGGGACATACAATATACACTATTTTACATTTTTTACAAATGAACAGTTGAAGGCTGTTCCATATCAGTGCATAAAGAGCTCCTTTCAGGCTATCTATTGCTGAGTAACAAATCACTCCAAAACTCAGTGGCTTAAAACAACAGTTATCATTTTGCTAATTTGCAGTTTCTGTGGGTCAGGAATTTGCTAAGAGCTTGACTGGGTGGTGTCTCATAGACCTACAGTCAGAGAGTGGCCAGGGTGGGGACATGGCATGGGAATGAAGCAGCTGAAGGCTGTCTGGCCCTCTCCTCGTGACTCTCTGTGTGGGCTAGTTTGGGCATCCTCACACCATGGCAGTCTCAGAGCAGTCTGTGCTTAAATGACAGCTAAGGACTTCAAGAGCCAGTGTTCCAGCAAACAAAGAGGACCCTGTAAAGTCTTTTACAATCTAGCCTCGAAAGGCACATAGCTTCACTTCTATTGCACTTAGTTGGTTGAAAGTCATAAATGCATGACCAAGGGGTCCCACCTGGGTGGCTCAGTCAGTTCATCTGACTTTTGATTTCAGCTCAGGTCTTGATCTCAGGGTCTTGAGTTCAAGCCCCACGTTGGGCTCCATGCTGGGCATGGTGCCTACAAGAAAGAAAGGAAGGAAGGAAGGAAGGAAGGAAGGAAGGAAGGAAGGAAGGAAGGAAGGAAGGAAGGAAGGAAGGAAGGAAAGAAAGAAAGAAAGAAAGAAAGAAAGAAAGAAAGAAAGAAAAGAAAGAAAGAAAGAAAGAAAGAAAGAAAGAAAGAAAGAAAGAAAGAAAAGAAAGAAAGAAAGAAAGAAAGGAAGGAAGGAAGGAAGGAAGAAAGAAAAAGGAAGGAAGGAAAGAAGGAAGGAAGGAAGGAAGGAAAGAAGGAAAAGAAAGAAAGAAAAAAGAAAAGCAAGAGAAAAAGCCTGACTGATTTCAAGGGGAGGGCAATAGAGCCCAAATCTCCATGGCAGAGGTGTCAAAGTCACATTGTAAGAAGGACCTGTGGGATGGGAAATATTGTGGTCATCTTTGGTCACAGCAGCTGAATAGTATTCCAACGTTTGGGTGCACTGTCATTTATGTAAGCACTGGGGGACATTTATGTTGTTTCCATTCTTTTAATATTACAAAGGATGCTTTGAAATTTTATAGATGTTTTCCCTCTGCCCCCTATCCCCACTCCTTAGAAGGGGCTTGGTCTTTTGATCACTCACCCCTCAAGGCCACTGTGTGGCAGGACTGGAAGTAACCATTCTCAGGCTCAAGAAGAGATCCCCTTCCACTTTGGGCCTTTGAGGGAAATTATGCTGAACTGTCCCAGATGAGGAAAGAATGGAGAGCCAAATAGTCAGGAGGAAAGGAGATTTTTGAAAACCTCCCCAAGGTTGAGCCATGGGCTAGGCTTTGCAGGACGTTTGAGTGGCGAGGATCTGGGCCTCTCTCTGCCCTGGGCAGGCAACCATATGGGTTGCCCTGGGAGGCTGGAGGACCTCTGAACCCCTGTGAAGAGCAGAACGGTTGGCCTTTCCCGGGCCATACCAACCTGAATGAGGGGCACATTTATGGTATCAGTGTGAACGAAAGGCCAGAGGGCTGTTCCCCGGCTGCACTGAGTTACACCAACAGGCCTTCACATGAACCTGGGGTGGGGCACGAGTCTCAATTATCTTGCCAGCACTGTGGGATGGAGGCTTGGAACATAGAACATTTAATTTGGAGAAAGAAAAAGCATGTGACTCTTAACCAGGGTGAAGGAACACAAGTCACTTTTTCTACAAATATTTAGGTACAGAAAGTGATCTGTTATTTGACTTGTCCCAGCAATTACAAGCTCCAGATTCCCAGATTTGTTCCTTCATGAGTATGTGCCAGGTGCTATGGGAGACAGTCATTCAAAATAGAACATGATCTTAGCATTAAAATATTGACTTTCCCAGGGGCGCCTGGGTGGCTCAGTTGGTTAAGCGACTGCCTTCGGCTCAGGTCATGATCCTGGAGTCCCTGGATTGAGTCCCGCATCGGGCTCCCTACTTGGCAGGGAGTCTGCTTCTCCCTCTGACCCTCCCCCCTCTCATGTGCTCTCTCTCATTCTCTCTCTCTCAAATAAATAAATAAAATCTTTAAAAAAAAAAATATTGACTCTCCCAT